TATTAAGTCAAATATTGAAGATTTGTTCTGAAAGGATAATACTGACTACAAACAATGATAATGATTTAAACCCAAAATGTGTTGGCGATTCCGAGTTTCACTGTTTAGAGATTTCGCCTCGAGTGATTTGTAAGGCTTATTACGCCGAGTCTAGATGTAACTAAGCTGTTTGTGCATATGATATGTGCTTTTAAGTACACAGTGTTAATGGAATTTGAAAGTGACGTCAGTATAAGATATTAGTCGCCTTGAATTTTGGTGTATGTTATATGTAAGTGAAGTGTAAACGAAACATGAAAATACAAAACTTTTGATACAAGTTCCGATATCTACTCGTATGTATATTCTTTCTGATATGGAGCATGGTAGTGTACCTGTCAAGTCAGACAAAAAATTTATAAAGGCACACCCGTACCATCCTTTTCTTATTACGCCTTAAGCTATTCAAGACTTACTGTTTCGACCGCCAGTAGCTTTTTGTTAAAATAGATAGAAGAGTAAATTTTCAGTAATTATATTCTGTTATTAAATTTAATTGAACCCGTATTTAATATTGCTGTGTATTAATATTACAGGTCTTAATTTGATTAGTAAATAGAATAACGCGGTATTCGCACCACCTATTAAAATATTCTTATTAAAACATAGCGCTGGCGATCCTTCATGCATACACAAATTATGCTGACTGCGATTATTAGGTTATTTTATCTAGACACGGTTACTATAAAATGTTGTTAGTTAATAAGTTAAGTAACAATTGGATCTCTTAAACTTTCTGTGGTTGAAGAACCGCGTTGCGTTGTTGTTTTATGTAAATAAAACCAATAAATATAATGATTTTATTTAGATTTGTGTAGTAATTATAGATAAAAAAAATATATTTTAAATAAATGGATTTCCATTCTTAATATTAGAAACATTTTAGGTATCTTAGTAACAAAAGCCAATATATATATATATATATGGGCTTGCATGTATATATATATATTGGCTTTTGTTCTTCAATAAAATAACGTCATTCATCCCTCGGTTTTATAAAGTTAAAAATTAACTTCTGACGTATGCTAAATGTGTTATCACTTTCAAATCAATAACGTGTCAAATATAAGCTTGTCCAAGACATATTTGACATATTTGCAGAAAAATCGTTGTTATTTTTTAGGAAATATTGTATGGCGAGAACAAAATAGTGTCTTGTGAGAATTTAATTTTTAGTTCAATAATTTCATAATACACATCATAAAATGAAAACAAATTGAAGATTTGTTTTCACTTGGTTTTTGTTTCAATCTCTTGAAAAACAGAGCAAGTTCTGAGACTATTTTTCTTCTTCAGCACCCTTTTTAAAACCTACAAAGTTAAAATTTCACAAACAAAAAGTCGTGAGCTGGTAATTTTTTTTTGTCTTAACAACAACAGTAAAAATAAATCGGCCGAAAGTAAATCATATCTTTTTTAAACCAAAACTTCTGCAAAAGTCCTTTTTTAGTTTTCTTTGAAAACTTAAAGAGCTCGCCCAAAGAGGGTTTTTTATAGCCGACAATAAACTTAACACCCTAAGGAATAGAGTTTAAAATAACATTTTTTATGATTTAAAATTGTATAATACTTTAAGAGATCGGACAGTTAGAATTGCCTGCGGATGTACTTTTAATGACTTTTTCCTATATTTTATTCTTGTAAGAAGAAATTATTTCATCTTTCGATAACTTAGCAACTAATAAAGAAATTGTGAATATAATATGTCTTAAAAATATAATTTTCTAAAAACTTCATTTATTTTGACGCCAGTTGCTACAAAGAAGGAATATAGACCTTTTAAAATAGTTGAAATAAATAGATGATCCGTCAATAGCCTGCTTACGTGATGGGTACGACACCTTAAAACCCTACTCGATTCCATATACTCCTCAATCAATGTATTAAGTCTATTATGAATATCTTCACTTCTAATCCACCTCCTCCTTTTAAAGTACTGCCAATTTTCACATATTTCATTACTGAAAAAATCAACAGTTACAAATTGACGGTAATTGCATTGACCCTGCTTAATATGTCTCTGCTTATTCCTGTTTGTTAATAGAAAGGCGGAAATTGCCACTCATCAATTTGCTTTGTCTTTGCACTGAATATAATTTAAAGGATTTAATTTTTTCAATCTTTCAGTTGTAGCTTATATTACCAACAATAGGTCTTGGTTGACATATAAATAAAAACATACGGAACCACATCTCATCTGTTTTTATATATAGTTATGCGGTGTTAAATCAGGTTGTTCATTTTAAATCATTGGAAATTTAAAGTATATCCCACAATCACTTCAAACTAATCATCGAACGACTGATTTTGATCAAAATCTAATTCCAGTCTCCAAAGCCAAGGCTTTGGAAGAGGCATAAATAAACAAGGTCGGCTTAAAGAGCTTTAACGCTGACAAGGGTAGCCTAGATAGATCAAGATAAAAAGCGATAACCACATTTCTCCAAATGCAAAACAGAGATCCAGACAAAAAATCCTGCAATTTATTTACACCTACAGGAGATATTTTAAGTAAAATGCCAGCAAATCATCGTTTACGGTCATAATATATAAAATTTGACAGGTCATTACTTCGAGGGTCAGTGGAAAACATTTTCGATATTGCGTCCACTAGGAAACATTAATGAAAAGCATTTTGAGTAAAAGTGGCAGTTGGAAAAATGTAGTATAGTAACATTAGGTACTGTTTAAAAAAAATCTATTGCTAGGTACCTGTATTTTGAAAGAGCTAGGATTTTAACTCCCTTACATTATCATAGTGTAATTTGACAACTTTACAAACATTCATGATATCAATACTTAGATTACTCTAAAATGTACCTAATGGCCAATTATTTTATATTATATTAAAAACCAAAGAAGATTCTTAGAGAAAAATACACGATTGTTTAAAGTGATTACTTCTTATGGGAGGGTAAACCGCTTCGTTATGTAACGCGTTACGGTGCCAGTCTGTGTGGCTTTCCTTTCTCACACGGCAGTGGTAGGCAGGCTCCTCCTCTCTCACTCTAACCAACAGCGCTAGCCGTATTTCGGACAGACGCTTTTCAAAAAGTTTAAGTAATAACCTAAGCTTTTCTCAAGTTAAACAATTTCAATGTTAAATAGTTCAACTTAAATTAATTTAATTTCACTTCTGTCGGGCGTCCCTAGCCGAATAAGGTTTTTTTGTATTAGCCTAAAGAATGCAGACAGAATACCTAGTTAATGACAATTAAATGGACTAGATTTTAATAAAGTAAATATATGAGAAAAAGCCAAGTCAAGGGAAGAACGCTTTAACCTTTGTCAATTTTAGTATTCAGAACCTTTATTATGATCATAAGACCATCGAGAGTTAAGACGTTTCAGCATGATGTGAAGCAATATATTAATTGCTGGACCTGATGTAATGTTGCGCTACAAATATTGCCTACTGAGTTGTCTTTCGTACACGATTTACGTAAGCGTGTAAGCAATGGGCCATAAAAACGTCGTAAAGATCCCACTAAAACTGGTTCCGGTCATAAACTGTGTATGAATCTTGAACTTGACGACAACTAATTTTGAATACTTCTTCGTTTTATGTCTCATTGCAGGTCAGGGTTACTTCTGTTGTTTGAGTTTTGTGAAGTGTTTGTGAGAGTACAAAGGCATTTATAAACTTATGCAGTTAATGTCCAGCGTTTCGGAGAATTTGTTAAATTAACATGACTTAAGCTGCACATTTATACAAGACCTGTTTATGACATATATGTACTAACGTCTATGTCCCTAAAGGTGTAGACAGAAGCATATTAAGACGCTCACATTTTGCTGACTAAAATTTTTACGCCCACTTATGTAATGGATGTACTTAATCGACGGCAAGTCTATTGACGTCAACCAAACATACATATTTTTACATACATAATAAATTTATTTTATAAAAAGTACATTACAAAGTTATGATCTTAAAATCTAGCAATAAATTGTGACATAAATTATAATTTTAAGAAAAACATACGGTTTTGCTCAAGTGTAAGTAAAATATCATATCATGATATTTATTTACAGATCCATATAGAAAATGAGGCGTATTAACTGCGATTGCTTTTATAAGATTTATAAAAATGATTCCCGTGATATTTCTCTCTGGCAAGCGGTACCACGGTACCGTCAATAGGAGTAAGAAATTAATGAGCCGTGAAATTATCTGAAGAACACTTCGTATTAAAGTGTCATGTTTAGGTCATTATCATAAATCATGGTAAGATACGAACACAAATATAGGTAGATATATAGATTTACAGGAACTTTAAAGGTTGGAAGTGAAAGAAGTCGATTTTTAAGCTGTTTTTTGTCTTCATTTTTACATTCAATCATTGAACACCTTTGTAATGATCGTCAACTTTTCTTTATAACAGTTAAATGAGAATATTAATGGATTTTCATTGAATGAGTTTAAAAGTTTAGTGAAGTACGAAGAGCGAAACAAATTTACTTTGTTTACATTGTTTCCAATTCAATCTTTGAGCAACTGGCTTAAATCAACACGATTAACGCAACAATCCTCAAACAGCTTGGCTGCAAACCATTTTAAAACCATTATTTATGTTTGTAGTAAATAGTATCAGGTAGGGTTAAACTGGTATAGTGGTGCAACTACTTTACTTCTAGCATTGGCTATCAATTTTGCAATTTCGTCAACACATATCGACATTAAGGCTGTATCGCTGTATTTGGCATCTATCGATTGCTCAATTGCATCGATGATTTAATTCACTGTACTGAAATTGCTGGATCGATATCTACATTGATGACTAAAGTTTAACTAAACGTTATGAATACGATAGTGGTTCACCATTTATCCGAAAAGTATTTAATAAAGTACATCCGCAAAAAAATTCTGTCTGTCACAAAGATTATTCTAGCGTGTACGAATGTAATAATTGTGATTAACATTACGAAATGCAACGCGTCGAATACGCGCTGGTTATGTGTCAGCTTATCGTTAGGGCTAGTAAAAGCAGCAATGAATCGGAACTGCTCGCTGCGCCGCCTCGTTGCATCGCAAGCGGGTTTTCTCCTGTGAACAAAATATTTTTTTTTCACTATGTTAAATTGAAGCTTCCGTCAAGTGGTACGATGGCGTAGTTCGAATAGTAAAGGAACGAGAATTTCCATCCTTATGTTATTGAAGACCAAACGATGTTGACTACCAAATCCTTCTCATTAAATTTTGTAGAACTAGTTGTTGAGATGAATAAAATTTATGTTTCCAAATGGCTGTGTGTCGGTGTCCAAAAGTGTATTAGTTTATAAAATGTTTACGATTCTTTCGTCTTCAACACATCAAGGAGATTATTAAAGGATTTTTCATTTTCATAAATGTTTTTGTGTTGCACAAATTAAAAACAAGTGTGAATAGCTGTAGTGATTGTTAGTAGGGTAGTGTTAGTGGAAGTGGAACAATAACAACTTACACTAATAGTTTGCGATACATATAACTATGTTGTATGAATGTAAGAAAGGTAAAAAAGAAGTAAAGTATAAACAAACAGAATTTTTAAAATTAATAAGTATATGTTATTTTTTTTATAACAGGACTCGACAATTTATTTACTGTAAGAATACAATACTATTATGTAGGTTGACTTTAATATTGACATTGAAAATTATAAAGTTGAAAATGTTATAAAAAAAAATCGGTTGTCTGTAAAGTCGGTTTACTGACGATAGTTGAACGTGACAATGTCATTTTTTTTTTTTTTTTTTTTTTTTTAATAATAATAATAATAATAATAATAATTTATTCCATAAACAGTGTTTTTGTACAGTACATGGTTTTACAAATATTACAGTGGGTACATAATACATTTAAATTGGGGCATCTGTGCCTGGACTAGATAAGAAATCTGTATCCCAGACATCAGCGCTTTTCCCTGATTACATCACCTAACTATACCTAAACCATTTATTTTAACAAAAATTTTACACTAGTTTTAAAAAATAATAAATAAACACTAATATCAGATTACTATACAAATATCACTGCAAATCGAAGCTCAAGAAATAGGAATATTTGTATTATTTGTCCTCTCTGTGAGTGGAGTGAAGATGTGAAAGTGTGAGTGTGAGAGGGTGAGTAGAACGGTTACTGTGGCACATTTAGGAGATTTTCAGTTTCATCATACGATAATTTATGTATAAATGCGAATATTTTATTCTGGCACTGTTTTTTATTGAGGTTGTATAATGTTAAAATGTTATTAATTTTGGTATATAGATAAGGGCCAAGAAAACAAAAATATTTCCTTACATAGACATGTTTAAAGAGAGGTCGAACAAGATTTGGAATGGTTTGTCGTCTTTTAGTTTCAGTACAGCTTATGGGATCCAGTAAACAATGCTGTTTCATTAAGGTATGCACTATAAACAACTGTCGGACCGTTAGAACCTCGGATAACTGATATAGGTGATACGTAGGGTACCGGAATGGTCGGAAAGAACTGACCTTGAGTATGGTCCTTTGAGTTATTTCCAATGGTTTCATGGTTGTTTTGGCTACCCCACCCCAAACAGTTATACAGTACAGTATAAGTGACTGTCCCAGCGCCAAATAAATCTGCCTCATCATTTCTTGCTTAGCCACATGTCTAAGATTTTTGAAAACAAAAGTGAGTTTTCGCAATCTGGACACGATTAAATCGATATGTAGTTTGAAGGACAGGTTATTATCGATGACGACTCCCAAGTACTTCACGGAGTTTGTTGCTACTAAATTAGGACAAGGACAGTCTATATCATTACAACAGCTGTGAGCTGTTAAATAGTGCACACCCGAGGGCATATTTAAATTACGCATTGTAAATGTAACATACCTGGTTTTGTTCCTGTTTAGAGACAAGGAATTGCTCTGAAGCCAATGTGTAACAATGTTCAAACCATATTGAGCTGCTTTGAATACTTTTTCCCAAGTATCTTCGGAAAACAACAAGACTGTGTCATCGGCATACGCAATAATTTTACCACTCGGTAAGACTAAATTACAAAGTCCATTTATATATACCAGAAAAAGGCTAGGTCCAAGGATACTGCCCTGAGGCACACCGTGAGTAATAGGTAAGTCAGTGCTACACATATCACTTATTTTCACACATTGAAAACGATTTGATAGATAATCAGTAAACAATTTTAATTGGGTTCCTCTTATGCCTAGATCTTCAAGTTTTTGAAGGAGCAGCGGCGTAGAGACCGTGTCAAAAGCTTTTGCCAAATCCAGGAATATACCTATGGTTTTATTGCCCGCATCCATATTGCGGACCACATAGTCTTGTAATGCATGTACTGCGTCACTTGTAGATTTGCCAGCTCTAAAACCAAACTGGTTGTTGGAGATTAGGTTATTCATTTCCAAGTAGTTTAGTAATCTATTGTTGATAATTTTCTCTAAGATCTTGGAAAGTGACGGTAAAATAGAAATGGGCCTATAGTTTGTGACACGGTCTCTCTGCCCTGACTTATAGATAGGAAGTACAATCGCTTTCTTTAGCATAGCCGGAAACTGGCCCTCATGTAGACAAGTATTAAATATGTGCGTCAATGGGGGGACTATGAGCGGTCTTACATCTTTAAGAAGACAATTTGATATTGAGTCCCACCCTGTTGCGCATATGCTTTTTAGATTTAGAATCAGTTGATTTACTTCTGTTTCATCTGTATCAAATAATACAAAGGAATTACAATTGCTTGTCTTTCGTTGAGGTTTATCAAAAGTGTGATGAGAGGGATTTGAACAACGTGTAGTGTTTTGAGCTAATTCTTTGCCCGCTGCTATAAAGAACTCATTCACTTTCTCAATCGATTTCCCCTTATGGGCAGGATTTATAAGTTCCGTTGCTGATGAGTTGGGTTTGGTTCTATTTGTGATTTTCTTTATGGCATCCCAGATTTTTTTATTATCTTTACCAGCCTTGTCTAGTAGTGTTTTTTCGTAAGCCCTTTTCACCTTTTTTAGTATATTATTACAGAAGTTCCTATATCTAGTATAGGTCAACTTTAGAGTTATGTTACTGGGGAAGTGACGTGATTTATTATGAAGCCTATCTCTATGCCTCATGCATCGTACTAAACCTGGAGTAATCCAAGGCTTGATTACTTTATTTCGTCTCGACAGCTTTGAGACCACAGAGTTGTTACGAATGAAACTTTGAATTGATGTAACAAAAAACTCCAAGGCAAAACTGGCGTCCTTAGAGCTATATATAGGTTGCCAGTCCATTTTTTGCAGGTCAGATTTAAAACCAGCTCTGTCCACTTTGGCATTTGTAACTTGAGCAAATGTTCTGGTATGTTTCTGATGTACACTCAACAGTACAGCTTGATGATCAGTTATTGCCGATGTAATGACCAGTACTAGAGCTTCTTTTTGTGTTTTTAACATAACGTGATCAAGACAAGTGCCAGAGTGCCTAGTAGGAAAACAGTGTGCCGGCAGTAATCCATAATATGAGCATAGGTTTAAGTAGTCCAAGGATCGCGAATCCCCCGAATCGCTAGAAATATCGATATTAATATCACCTATTATAGAAACATTTTTAAAGTTATGAACACTCTCCAGAATATTATTCAAAGATTGCAGAAAGTTATCTATACAATAGTTGGATGGAGACCTGTATACTGCCAGCACCACAGTTTCCTGACCAATTTTTAAAACTATCCCATTACTATCCAGACAGTTGGGCTGTTCACAGATAATATTAAGCTCCGACCTACAATAAACTACAACTCCGTCATTCTGGTTTACACAGTTAGCGGATAAGACGTAGTTGTAACCTTCCAATACTGGAAGTATTGGATTATGTGACAACCAGCACTCAGTCAAAATGATTATATCGCACTTCATTTCCAACCTGCTCAAAAGTACCAAAAAACTGTCAAAATTTTTAGAGATACTTCTTATATTTTGTGTTATTATAGTTAAGCTCCCATTCGGATCATTTATTAAATTATTGCATTCCTCAACGCTACATACTCGTGATTCCGCTGCTGAGATATTATCGATTTCACAGAACAAATCACCCATTATTTAATTAATATAAAAGTGAGGAACCAATTACTAATGAACAGGAATATCCGCATTCTGACACAAGTATGTAGCATATTAATACTTTTTAGATAAATCAGGGCACCACCACAAGCAGTTGAGACCTCGCTGTGATATGTCAATCCCAAATTAAGTTTCAGCGGCCAACACATCTGATGTGTGTCAAAGCCGGGTGTGTGTGCATATGCCCTGACAAGATATACACCATAGAACCCATTGTTATGGTACTCACAAATTTGCATCGGAACCAAATAACACCTTATTTTACTAAAAGCTATTTTGCTACAGTCCAGGTACCATAAGTATAAAATATGACATTTATATGACGTGAGCCTACAGTCTAAGAAAAAAATAATTGTGGAGTGTAAATTGTGTAGTGGAATATAACAGTGCATAAGCGAAAAAAATATTAAAAGATCTAATATAACATGCAACATACATACTAATACAAACGAGAAAACGTTGTGATAACTGTTATAGTTTAGAATAAGTAGTCATATCGTGATATTATCCTTCAGCTTCTTGAGATCGGTCTCCCTCTCAACACGTATAAGAGGCATACCCTCTTTTTTACGCAAGTAAATTTTTCCATATGATGACCAGCAGTATTTATAGTCGAAGGTACTTGCAAAATCTCGCGCAAGGAAAAACAATCGTCTACCATTGGGGGTAAGATGATCGGAAATTTATATAGGTCTTTTGTCATTTTCAATACCTAACAGACTTGTATTTAACTTATCTGTTTTTTCCTTCGGTGTTAGTTTTTTTACTTTAGATAGGAAGCTTTCCTGTCATAAGAAAATACTGATGGAATGGTTGCATTTTTCAAAAATGTATTATTGTATACGAGTAGCAGCTGTCCACGCGGACGCATCGCTCACACAAGTAGGAGAGAGACAGATGTCGAACGCTGCCGAACGCGGAGGCCGATTGTGCCTCTTTGTCACTCGTTCCGCGCTCTCGCTTGCACTTTACGCCTTAAATGGAACGCCTCAGAGCGAGGTAACGCCGCATGAGTCATGTTTTTTCGTGCGTGCAGCCGGCTCCATCGAATTACAAGACGTTGTCACGTCAAAAAATATATGTCCTTAAACTTTCATTTCGAAATGATAATTAGAAAGTATTAACAGAATTAAATAATGATCATCAGCAACAGCCTAGAACTGTTTACTGCTTGACATAGGACTCTCCTTGGCAGTTTTTGGCCTACTATACCACGCTACTGGTCGAATAGTAGGCCAAAACGGGGGTATAGGACTTGTGGCCAGGTTTTTTTCTCTCTGCGGTGCTGTAACTGTTGTCCTGCGTAGTTTACTCTCGGCTCTTACGACTCACACAGGATGAATTAGAGTAATGACACTCCTTATTCTTAATTCATCACCACACTGACCGTAACACATATACGTACACTTATATCCCTGAAAATATTTATAATTTTAGTACACACTTTTGTAATAGGTAAGTCGCTTGGCATATTCATTATCTACTATTTATAGGAATACTGAGAGTGAGGAAAGTAAGAAAGTAGGGATGACAATGCTAGGAAAGGAATATTGCTTAAACAAATGGATTTGGATAGACTCCAGCAAGTCATGCCTGTAACTCGAATTGGTTATTGTCAGAAAGTCCGAGCCTTTTAACCAAAATATTTGAGGTTTTACATGAACTCGTCCATGAATTTGTAATTGGTGAAGAGTTCAGTACGAGATAATCACAACGTCGAACGCGGTTACCGTGACGACCAAGTTGACGACCGGTTACCGTGTCAACATAAACTCAAACTATGCTCTTAGATCATGTTCGATTTAATATTTCAGCATTCAGTCGATTGCGAAAATGCTTACAGACTCATAAAAAAATCTATTAAGTTAAAAAACTGAACTGTCTTTAAAAATAGGCTTCTTAAATCTGTGAAATTTTGTTGGGAACTTAAGGCTTATAAAATGTTACTATACATCATTCTATAGAAATAAAGATCAATCTTTCTTTAAGGAAATTCTTTTGGAGACTATTCTGTAAAAACGGATTTGATATCTTCAAAGATTAAATTGAAATACTTTTTATTAAAAAAAAATGCTTTTAAATTAATCATAGAATTGGGACATCTTATCCTGTTGGATCCATCTTTTACATAATGCGTTTGTGATATAAATTGTATTACAGTTTCTGAGAACCATTAGAAATGGAGAACTATGTTTGTCATAATATTAAAAAAGTTTCACAGTTGTCAGATATATAAAATATTTTTTTTTTACATAATTTCGGACAGGGAGGGAGTAAACAAGGTCCCACAAAAACATTTTCATCTAAAATGTTGCCAAGACTAGAGACCAGGTGTGACCACCAGACGTGACCATGGCTAGTACTGTCAATAAGTTATTAGATTTCATGTAAAGTCAAGTTTCTAACTCTACAAGCCACGCTAACAACCACATGTCAAACTCTACACCTTAGTCAAAATATGTGGCTTGGCCGTTTCGTTACTACGATAAATCCTTTTAAAAAAAAGTTGAACCGACTTCAACCATAATCTGTTTGAAGTCGGTTCAACTTTTAAACTACTTAATACATATTGAGTAAGAATCAAACCCTTGATTAATGGTCTAGAGCAATTACTCTAGACTTATTTTCACCCAATGGCGTGGCCTTGGTCGGTAAAACACGATCGTCTGGCATTCGACAGTTGAGAATAATAATAAGATAAGCTATTAATAATCTCATTATTATGGGTAACATTGTGAGAGAACGAGTGTGATGTCTCTCTAACACAAAGGGAGGATCCTCCAACCAAGCTGGTGAGGTGAGGTGATCATGCCTGGCGGTCCGCGGCCCTACGGGCGATCTTGGGAAGTTGTATATATGGTAATCGGCGAGAGAATTCTTCATATCGCGATACAGGATTAGCAATTCTCATTCAGGAGTTACTCCGTAGTTCGGTGTGTTTTTGTTAGATGGCGCTGTAGTATGTTTCTGTTTTCTTGTATGTGGGAGTCGTCACAACATCAACAGATTAATCTATGTCTAGACTCATTGTAGAAAGAGTTGTGTAATATGTCCCAAAACATTATAAATAATACGTGGGAGTATAATACGCCTGACCCTTTAAATATAAAGCTGTGAGAAGATACAATATTTTATGGCCCTATGACGTAATAGGTATCTAATATAAAACTTATCTTGGAACTGCCACCACACTAAACATATCCAGCAATGGACAGGTCAAATATAGGCATATCGCCACCACTTCTCTAAGTTAATAACAAAGTTATTCTTAGTTGAATGTAAATGGTTTGTTTGTTGACTTTTGTACTGTATGTATGGTTGTGCAACTAAGTTAACAAATGGAGTATATATTTCACTGTTAGTTAGTTCTGTTTTAGAGGGGTTAGTAACAGAGATTGACAAAAATATAAAAAAAAAAAATCTTTACGTGTATTTTACTACACTTTGCCCATAGTATTACCCAACTTTTTCTAAATTATAGATAAATCTAAGTCTTTTTTTGTAGCCACGACAGGTGTATACAAAGTTACACGATGATTGGTTGAGAAGTTTGGGAGTCGAAGCGTAATAAACAAACAAACAAGACGTTACGTCAGCAATATTGGTTTACTTATCAAGTAACTTGTAAATGTGACTCACGTTGCCTCTTATTCCTGACAATTTCAAAATTACCTCAAATTGGTAAGATGGGTGTTTTTAAATTTGTCGTAAACCTTCTCTGAATAACCTTAAAGGACGATGTGCAAGCAACTCTGCCTCCCTTTTTTTCTGCGTATGATAGCTTCCTCGGACCGACAACCAACTAAATTTTTGTTTGAAAAGTTTGTCGGAATTAAACCGAATTTATTTTCTTTACACATTTAACAAAACAGAATGTTGCAATTGTGTGTGTTGATCTATGACTTTGAGTCTAAGACGATTTTAAAGTTTTTTTTTTTTTAAATAAAGTTTTTTTGAGTTTGCTAGTATAGTAATTACCTTACTTTACCTGCAATATCATTAATAGAGATAGTAGAAAGGTTTACCTCTATATATATATATATATATATATATATATATATATATATATATATATCTTCTTACAGTCACCGGAACGCCCACGTTTTTCCTAGTATAATTTTAATCCTACCCACATAATAAAGGGTGTCTCAGTAAGAGTGCACTTTTTAAATTTAGAACCATTTTTTTTCATGCAAGTGGCAACTCTGAAATTTGACAGCTGTGACCTATGTTTATTCTGATTATAACAAATGGAGCGTGAAAACTCATTACAAAAATACGGAAAGTTACGCTGAAACCTCTCGCAAACTTCGCCAAATTTCATTCGAGAAAGTGCACCTAATGTGTCAACCATTCGAAGATTGGTAATTTTTTTTTAAGGAACTGATGATTTCGAAGGATTTAATTGTTATGTATTCAACACATAGAGCTCAAACTGAGCTCTAGAGCACATACATTTTTTTTTCAATGTTCAATTTATCATGATAAATTTTAAGAGTTTTGACTTCAAATTACTTAAATGTTTCTGTGATACAAGCCTTTATAAGATAGTGTACGGTATTATATATTTAATCATATTAAGTGTCTTCGGCGTTACTCGTATTTTAAAACAATCTACACTTTCTAAGAAAAAATAAATCATAAAAAAACTAGAAATTTGGTACTGTATAAAAATGAGAATATTTTAAACATTAAGTCGTCTTTGAATTAGTTCTTTAGATTAATCAAAAACTACAGAAGTACATGAGATTACCAAAACTTTAACTTTAATTCTATGTTAGGACAGTAATAGTTTTAATATAGTCGTAGATCAAAATTCTTCACTATTTAAAAACTAAGGTTTATAACTAATATGTGCCAAGTATCTCCGGTAAGGCGCTGCAAATTGCGTTCTTATGATATATTAGATATTTAAATTGCTACATCATCCATCTTACAATGAACAAAGTTTAAAAAGAAAAAGACTGGAGAGTGTTTGTAAAATGGTTTTTTTTTTTCTATGTTATTGAGGGCAGACGAGCAGACGAAAGATGAAATAAGAAGTTTTTTGGACTATATAACAAGATATCTGCAATTATGTAAATTTAAACATACTGAATACTGGACAGTAAACGATGGGAAAGTTATATGTTAGTCTAACAATAGTAAGTAAGTTAGTTAGTATTGGTAAATCCTTACCTCTCAACACGTGCACAGACACGGCAGAAGCTGCAACGTCTGCGAGGGAGCACGTGTAATTGCCAGAGTCATTTCTGTTCGCGTTCGCTATGTACAGTCGAGACAGCGCACCGTTTGATGTAGCTTCTGATTTGACACTGAGAACAAAAGCAGAAAGTATTAAGTCATATATTACGTGATTATCAATTTTATTTCTTATTTTAATAAAACTCGACTTTACCTTTATTGAACGGGAATGACCATACCAATATAAATGTACAAATTTACCCAATGTAAAATAAAGACCCCACCCTTTTTTAAAAGGAAACCATTACCCTATTTTTTAATGAAGCCTTGTATTTGAAAAGTTTTGTGATTTTGAAAAATTATTAGTTTTACTCTTACTTTCAAATTTTAACCCTGGTGACTCACTTGTTTCAAAGATTTTTTTGAAAATATCATATTGACGTTTATAAACACAAACCCTAACAAACTAAGTGGTGGTGCAAAGCGAAACAAAACCAAAATTTCTCCATAATAATTTCTATTGAATAGATTTAAATTCCAAGAAGACTTCCATGTGATTCAGGAGAGTTAATTCAACATTCACCCTGGGATGAGTGTTGAGTCAATCTCCTCGCTGACATTTGACATTAGCCAAAGATTGATCAAAAACCAACCTCTCTAAAAAATTATTCCGTTAATTAAAATTTATTTTAGTACTACCTAATTAAGTCTCCGTAAGTAATAACTAAACCCCATTTTATGATAATAATGAAACAACAAAGTGTACATTCACCAAATAAGCCCAAAATAATCCGTTGAAAGGCTGATTGCTGCGCCGTAATGTTCGCATAAACAACGCTCAACACTCCTCGGCACGGCTTCCCTATTAGAAACAATTACATACACAAACAATCCGAATTTGAACAAACAAATACAACACGACCTTTGTTATATTTAACGGTTAAAGATATTTATCTTTGTATAGCATACATTAGATATACATACATACACTGACATCTATATTCCTGAAGCCAACGCCCATATTTTGCTAACTATAATTTTAGTCTCACGTAAGCATGCAAGCCAAGGGTAAGTCTATTGCCATAAACTGGGGAACACCCAAATACTCCGAAATATTTTATTCTGATTTTCAAAGGTCCGAGTTTCATAATACCTCAGATTATAATTCTTAGATATTATGAAACTCGGACTTTATTATAGACTTTATAAATAAACTTGTCTATTATTAAAATTCACGAAATTTATTTTACCGTAAATCGTAAATGTGTTTGTTTTCTAATTTTTATAGATTCAAAGAATCAAAGGCTCGATGGGTTCTCGGGTCGAAAACCGACATTCCGATTTTTTATTCTTCGAATAAACTCCTTAAATTGAGCAAATATAGAAGACTAGGGACTTATTGCTGCTAAGATACAGCTTTTATCATACGACGAAATAAAATACGTAATAAAATGTTTGTTTTAAAAACACAGTTCTTATTTTGAACTTACCCTATAATTGGCGCATTCAAATGACACCATCCTAGTACGGTATCCTGGTCATGGTTTACATGGCCATGAGCAGGATACCGTACATACAGAACATAGAACAAAGCATAGAGCTATGATAACCAGATTGTTGATAAATATTCTTAAATCATTCTAAATACTTACACTTATTGATAAATTATACCCAGACAGAACAAAATGATAATGTTTATCACACAATTATTTGTCTTGGGTGCAAATTGAACTGACGAACTAACTCTCTCATCCTTTATCGTTAACCACTAAGTAAGTCCTAAATTTAGTTTTTTCTGTCATTTATGTGAAGGTATTTCCGTCAATTGTGTAAAAAGTGTTTAGTTTACTTAAGCATCCAGCCAGGAGTATGTGTTGATTCCACTAAAAAAGCACTCCGACGGCCAGCCTTAGGCGCCCTGCTCTGGGGAGAACCCGGGCCATGTGATTTCAGGTCCCCCAGATCGACGTCGCACCTAACTAGGTCCCATCTCAGGGAATTACTTAAGCATCCAACGATTTAACTTGACAAAGTTAATATTGTGGCTCCAAGACATCTAATCGGAACTCAATAGAAAGTAGAAGAAAATAGAAGAAAACTTTTGGTTATACACAAAAACACAATATTTCACCTAAAATTTCCAATTTATTCGACCAATTTTACTGACTTCATTTCAACTATGATAGACAGGTGACAGGCATCTCTCATCCCAATTGAGACACTGTAAAACCTAAATGAACGAAACAATTTTTGGTCGGTAACATTTTAGTTTTTTTTTTATATATTTCGGTTGTTAGTCAATTTGCTTTGTTCACACATATTGTCACATTCACACAGCTCCAACTAGTTTCAAACTAAACCGAGCTTGTACTATGGGTACTAAATAACTGATATAAATACATATACTTTTTTATTTTGTAAATACTTACATATTATACATAGAAACACCCAGACCAAATCAAACACTAAATGTTCATACATACAAATGTTTGACTTGAGCGGGAATTGAACCGGCTACCTTTGATCAAAATGTGTATTAAGCGCCATTTTCAAGCTGGAAAACTTTATTAGAATCCTATAAAATTGAATTTCAGGGTCGTAGACGTGCCCAAATTTTTAATTTTCGACTTATAAGAGATTTTTTGTTTTTATTTTAAGTACACTTTTTCATCTACCGCTGTGTTAAATTTCATTCAGATCAGATACTCTGGCGTGATTGAATAAAAAGCACCAATAACTACATTTATAATGGAAATAAGATTATGAACAAAAATGGGGAAACATTTAATATAATTCCTATAATTGTATTTCATCTAAAAAATATAGAGAATGACTCTCTATATGATACATAAATTATGCTGTAAAAAAATTATAGTTATGTTTAACAAGAACCTATTTACTCAACGACTAGACAGTGATATTTGAAATTGCAAAAAAATACTTTGAGTTGACACAAAACCTTCATAGTGTGAGATTTTCGTGTCAAACTTTTTTCACATGATATCTACGAGGTTTTCTTTAAAAAAATGTGCAACATTCGATGTTCAATTGTTTTTTGTTATTCCGCTTATACGTGAAAGGTGGATAATTCGATAATCCAAGTCATTTTTGCATACGAGTTACGACGCGAAACTAAAGCTACAGACACGGCTCGCAATATTAACGCGGCGTTTGGAGAGGAGGCCGCTAATGAACGCACCGTGCGTTTTTAGTTTAAACGATTTCGTAATGGAAACTTCGACTTGAAGAACGAACCACGTGGAAGACCACCTACATAAATGAATAACGCTATATATGTTATATTATATATTCAAATTATTTACGTGTATAAGATTATTACATCATCCACGTACGAGATTACTACTCAAGTTACTGCTACACCACAGATTAGCAATTAAATGTGTTCTCCAAATCCTAGAGAGTAGAAGTACTAATGGAATGTTCGTACATATAACAGCAACTAATGTTCAGCGGAGCGGAGCGGAGCGGGTTGGATAATTTTCAACGTTTTGAGCATTTTCGAGCCCGTTATCTTCTTCTGTTTTACTTTTCTATTTAAAAGATAACAACTAGACAATAGTAGCTATAGTCCTCTTTACCGAAAATATTTCAGTTTTAATTAACTACTTTTATAACCTACGATGCTTATCTTTATCGGTACCTAACTAGGTATTGTAGTTCCAAGTCACTAAAATTCATTAACTTTCTTATTGTAGTATAAAAGATACAAAGTGTTTAACATAAACAATAAATTCTTTCTTTAAAGAAGTAATAAAAGCTAAAAATTTTGTCACTCATAAATATTAAATTAGGTAGTAAAGAAACACCTGTCAAAATGTCAGTCTTCTTTTTGTCACTCGCCTATAAACAATTGCCAAACTTTGTGCCATTTATTATATACTCTATTCCCCTACAATTTTGGCCATTTTATTTATTCTTTTCTTTTGTTTTCCTTGACGTGGTGGAAAATCCATTGGATCTCCTGCTCCTCGGGGACTGAGGAGCCAGGAGTATGTGATGATTGCACTAAAAACCACCCCGACGGTCGATCTCAGGTGCCGGGAGGACCTGGACCATGTTATTACAGGTTCTCCCCGAATTGACACCATGCCTGATCAGGCCCTATCGCTATGAGTTAACCTAGAAATAACATTATAGTAACCTGGATTTTCTTCAATCCGTACTCCGCTTCGCTTAGTTAGAATTGCAACCTTACGCAAAACGAGAAATTATTAACCGTAAATTCCCATGTCACTGTCATTTGTCAATTTATGCGAGCTGTCTAGCTGTTGATGAACTCTTGAGTCACTGATTACCGACTATTTATGTGTCTGATGTGTTTTAATGGAATAATTTAAAACAATTAATTCTCGGCTTCAGTAACGAATTAACCTAACATTAATTCCAAGGAGGTATGTGAGCATAATACGAGTAGTAACCCATTTTGTTAGTACCAACAAGAAAACCTAATATTGAATAAGATGTGTGTAACAAACGTTAAGTATTTTAAAACAGAAATAAAGAAGAACAAAGTACAATTGTTTTCATACCTTATGAACTACACTATTTTTATAATAAAGCTACCATAATTTTAGTCAAACAAGAATTTTGAATCATCAAGAAAATACCGAAAAAAACACATAGCTTTCTACTCAGTAAAAAGTCAATAACCAAGGTTAATTGTAGTAATAAACTTACACGTAATTAAAATATTTATGTAAACCATCTTTATTCTCACTCCTTTATATGAATCTCCTCATGAGTACCCACTTACTTATAAAGGAGCTTTGTAACCTAGTTCCAACTCCGCTTTTATTATGGGCTCTCACTATGGATGCTGTAACCCGCTGGACTTAACATTTTAATTAAACTTGGCAGGGTTGCTTCCCCGTTGCGTGGGTATTTTTATAATTCACAGAATAGTAAATAAACTTCTGCTATCTGTTTTAAGTGTAACAAAATGTTTTCATACGATGACGACGCAGAGTTAGCTTGACGAAACATTACGCGTCAATAAACATTAATTACAGAAAAAGAGAAGTGCTACCTACTCGGCGGATATAATTATACGTTATGGCATTAGTAGTGTTAGGTCGAGTTATCTAGCAATCTTAATATTAATACACATATA